CCGTCCCCTCCCCTCTCACCGGCTCCAAAGCGGCTGCGGGGCCGCAGGTGCGTCCGGCTGGGGCGGGGCCACCTGCGCTCCCCGTTCCCCGCCCTCCGGTGCAGGTGCACGGGGCGGGGCCGCCGCGGTCCTAAAGCCACCTGGCCCGGCCAAAACGCCGGGTCCTAGAGGTACCTGCCGGGGAAACACCGCGTCCTGGAGCCGCTCGGCCGTGCCGGGAACAGCGCCTGATCCTGGTGCCACCCGCCGGGCCCGCGCATGAGATGGAGGTGCTGTGCTGGGGACCAGTAAGGGACCGGCACTGGGGACACTGGAAACCTCAGGGACCTGTTGAGGTCACAGGGTGTGAGCCCAGGTGTGCTGGGACCGGCCCTGGGGACACGGAGCCGCACGGGTCGGACCCCACGTGTGATGGGGACCAGTAAGGGACCGGCACTGGGCGGGATGGGAGGAGCAGGACGGCTGCGGGAAAAGCCCTGCAGGGACGGGCCCGAGCGGGCTCCATCACCCAGCCCAGGAGTTTCCTTTGGCTCTGGCGCTGCGAGGAGGATTTGGGAGATTTGAGCTGAAGCAGAGCGAGGATTAATCAGGATTATTGAGATATTAGCTGGAATATTAACTGGTTTACAGGGGATGAGGTCCCTAGGGCACAAATATCCATCAGCCCCAAATTAAAACTCTAATGAGCTGGAATAAGGTGTGAGGGTAAACTGAGGCACAGATTAGAGCCAACCCTCGGCCTCCACGAGCCCCCCGCGGCTTTTCCGAGTTCACTTCGGAGCCGTCGCTCTCGCCCGTTTCGTTTCCTCCTTCGGAGGTTTCGCTTTTCGCTCAAAACCCGAAGGGGAAATTCCCTCCCCCGAATTTGCTGCTGCTCGACTTTCAGGCGGCCGCCACTCTCAGCTCGTCACCGCGGCCGCCAGCACGGTCCCCAGCACGGTAAATCACTTCTGGGGGAAACAGAAGGATTTTGGGGTCCGCTCCGGGCTGGGTGGTGGGGATGGGATTTTGGGTGCTCTGAACCGGCCCAGGCCCCCCCGCGCCGGGTTCTGCTCCTCGGAGACGCTCTGCCGACCCCGAAAATGAGTTTTTGTGTCTCCAAATTGCTGCTTTTAATTGCAGTTTGGGAGGGCTTTTTTTTTGGGACATAAAAAAATGTCCTGCAGCTTCTTCCTGGTGACAGCAGTCTGGGGGAAATGAGAAGGAGTCGAGACCCGAAAAACCCCAGCAGGGGTGGAATAAAATCCATTACAAAATCTTTCCAGGTTGTTAGGGAGTGACGGCTCCGTGTCGCACTCCAATTAATAATTAATTGGCGTCTTTATAGACAACTCTCAGGCAAAACAAAACTTAAATTAGAGGTGGAGTTGGCTGCCTTGGGGAGGCTGAAAAATGTTTACTTTTAAATTTTTAAGGAGTAGAGGAACCCAAAAAGTCAAAATCAGGGTGAAGTTTCCTCTCGGTGTGGGGCGAGCACTGCAGTTCCCTGAGCTGGGAGCAAACCTTACCATTGCCTCTGAGCTTTTCCTCGCTCCAGGTGCATTTCCTTCAGGATTTCTGCTCTTCTTCCCTCCCCGGGAATCCACAGCGTCGGAGGCAGCTCCATCCAACCTTCCAGCCAAACCCCTAATTTGAGTTAGAGTTTAAATTTAACGCCGAGCTGAAACTTGCAGCGCTGAGCTGAGCAAACCTGGAGGAGCTGACAGGAAGCCAGGATGATTTGCATGAAGATCTCACCAACCCTTCACATCCCCTTTGCAGATTGTTTGCAGATTTGTGTCCAGCTTTGGGTTTATTTATTATCTTTTAGCCCGGTAATAATTGGTGCAAGATGGGAAAACTGGGAAGTTTAATCCATAATACAGCTGTTAAAGAGGGGAGAAATGTGGGGAACACAATTTTCCTCCATAATGGCAATATTTGGTTAATTGATGCTGGGTGGTGTTTCCTGGGGTATTTTTGGGAGGAGAAGAGGCTGAGCAGCTCAAAAAAAGGGAATTGTGTCCCCACCTGTGGACATCATTCCTTGGATGGGTTTGTAGTTGGGAGTTTTTTGCTTTTGTGCCCAAAGAATTCCATTATTTGGTACTGAGTTGGAAATACAACTTTTTCCAGGTAGATTTTTTTTTTTACTAAATGGGATTTTCAGGTTGTTTGGAGCTCGTGGAAGCTGTGGGGGAGAGGTGGAAAAACCCAGCTTGGCTCCTCTTAGGAAGAACCTCTTCCCTTTTTTTTTTTTTTGTATATATTACGAGAGAACTGGGGATGCTTCTCTCTGTGCAGTCCCACACACCTGCAGCAGCTGGGATCTGGAGCCTGCAGCACCTGATCCTCCCCATCCCACCAGCTCGGGATGACCCTGGCAGCTCCTCCATGCCCGTGGATAACACCAGTCATCAGTGGATGATTATTAATGTGGTAATTATTGCTATTAGCAGGTGGCTGTTCCCTCTGCTGTCCCCTGGAGTGATGGAGATGGAGGAGGTGTTCCTGCAGCTCTGGGGGGAGGTGGCCAGGCTGCAGGAGCTGTGCTCGGAGCAGGGGAGGCTCCTCCAGAGGCTGAGGACCAGGAAGGGACCAGTCCTCGGTGAGTGGGGCCTGTGGGGACCCCAGACTGCACATTTGGGTCACTCCCACCTTTGTCCCGGTGCCCTCAGGAAGTTCCTCTGGTGAGGTGAAGGAGGAAGGTTCCCTGAGCCCATCGTGGCTTTTGGGTGTCGCTGCTCAGGGACACTCCCGGTCCTGGGACCATCACCTGGAGAGGGTGGGGGAGGATCTACATCCCAGAAAACACCCAGAAACCCTCTGGTTCTCCAAGGATTCCCCCTCTCCATACTCTCCTCTCCCCCCAAAACACTCACATCGCTCCCACGGGGTCTGGCACCATTTTCCCAACCCTAAAATGGGAATTTTGTGGACAGGAGGGATCGGTTTGGACAAAGCTGTGCTGGGAAACTGCAACCTCCCTGCCCTGGGGCTTCCTCCTTTCCACCTGTGTCCTTCCAGGACTTAAACCAAAGCCTTTCCTGGGATGAACCTGGAGTTTGGGGACGCAGGGGTGTCCCAGTGTCCTGAGGGAGCTGATGTTCCTCCAACCCTCAGCCCTCCCTCATTGTCCTCAGTGTCCTTTCTCTGTTGGCCCAGGCTCCAGAGGAGATGGCTGAGCTCTGCCAGCCCAGGGGTTTTCCAACAGGAAAATGGAGCAATGGAAAGGGAAAAAAACCCTTTCAGATTCCTGGGAATGACCCCTCTGCCTCGCTCTCTCCCAAAGACATCCCGGTGTCGCTGCCTATCCAGTGCACGGAGGACGTGGTGCCAGGGGACGGGCAAAGGTCACCTGAGAGCGGCCAAAAACACCCAGGGGCTCTGACATCCTCCACATCCCCCCTGGAGGGCTCTGCTTGTCCCATGGAACATCCCCAGGCCACCAACAGGCTCCCCCCAGGCCCTGGGAATGGCGTCAGAACCGGAGGAGCCGCAGCTTTTGGCAGCAGCGAGGGGGAGAAGGGAGATGTGCCCACCTGGATGAGAACCTGGATCCTCCCTGTCCCCTGGGAAGGAGGAAGAGCCCCCTGCAGCCCTCGGGAGTTGGAGGCACTAAATCCAGGGGCTGGGGGCTCCTTCCCAAATCTTCTGGATCTCTACAGAGCCCCAGAAGTGCTTGAGAGGGAAGATGCTCCCAGGGATGTGGCTCTCCCTGGGGAGGCTCTGGTGGAGATCCGAGGGCCTGTGAAGGTAATTTGGGAGGCTGGCAGGGAATTTGGTCCATGCTGGAGTTATGGCACCAGGGACGCTTCACCCTCCTCTCCATCAGCCCTGGACACATGGGAAGTGTGGCAGAGTGGGGTTGTTCTCTTAAAAGGTCTCTGGGAACTCAATTTTCTGGTTCCCAGGGGAGCTGGGTACAGGAAAGCCCCTGAGGTCCACCTGTCCAGCAGGACATTGCTCCTGTGATCCTCACAGAGGCTGTGGGCATCCCTTGGAGGAGTTAGGTCAGTTAGGCTAGTTAGTTAGTTCATTAATTAGTTAGCTAGTTCATTAGTTAGTTAGGGGGAAACCTCTAAGCCCCCTTTGAATCTTCCAGTTAAGCAGCTCTAAAGTATTTCCTTCATTCTCTCATATCTCCACACCCCAGAACACATTCCCAAATCATTCCAAATGATTCCTGTCATTCTGAAAGGATTTCTGAAGACCTCCCTGAGCTCTGGCCCCTCCTGCTGAACCTTCACTCCAACCCTGGCCTTCCCACCCAGGATCCCTGCGATGCCAATCCCCTTTTCTTTCATTCCTTTTCCCAAATGAAACCCTTAAAAATCCTTTCATGGCTTCAGGGGCTGGGTGTTCCCGGGGGTAACTCCTGATTTTGGGCTGTATTTGGGAGGGAGTTTTGAAAGGAGAAGGGGGAAGTGGGGCTGTGTCTGTCTGGGGAGGCCCCAAAGGGCCCGATGAGCACTCCAATGACAATGGCACAGGGACAGGTGACAAAAGTGCTCCGGTTTGCTGCTCAATTCCAATTTTCCTCCTGGTTTGGCTTGTGGAAAGTGCTGGGGGAGACTCGGGAGCCACATGGAAATCCAGGGGGATTTCTGGAGGATGGGGTGAGGGGCAGCTTGAGCTCCCCCAAGCTCCAGCCCAGTCCTTTTTGGGCACAAAAAGGTGGAGTCAGGTTTGGGTTGGGGGCTGGCCCAGGGCACTCCTGGGGGGTCTCTCTGTCCCAAAATCCCTCTTCTCTTGCCAGACGTGCTGGACTCCAGGCTGGGTGCTGGAGGAGGAGATGCTCAGGACCGACCCCACCCGTGAAGCTGCTCCAGCCTGTGACCTGTGCCGGGAGATTTTCCCCTCGGATGCAGCGGGACACGTGGAATATTTGAACCATGTCTTGGCCCATCTGGAGTAGGACTTGTATTCCCAATGGGAAATCCATGGATTTGCACCACAGGACAGACTCTGCACATTCCCAAGCTGGACTTGATGGCCTTGGAGAGCTTTTCCAGCCCTGGGATTCTGTGGCTGATGAGGATTCCGGGATCCTCCTGCTGGTTTGGACTGGGAGCAGCTGCCACGTCCCCCATCCTTCTCCATGTAGAATGAGCTCCCAGATTTGGATTATCCTGGCTGTGTTTTGGGTTACTCATCTCTGTGGATGTTGAAGCCAATCCTATCCTGGGGTCTGGAGGTGCAACTCCTGGGAAAAGGGAATTTCTCAAAATTTGCCTTTGACACAGTGGAAATGAATCCTCCATAAATAGTCAGGGATGTTTGGGAAGACACATTGGCTTTCTCTGGGAGTTTGGAAGGTTGGGTGGGAGAATCTCAAGGTTTTTGGGGTCACTAAGTATTTTAATTCATTAACAGTAATTTGAGAGTTTTATGGCTCTTCCATCAGTGGTATCCAATGTGTTTCCCAAAGGGTTTCACTACAGCAGTGGGGAAATCGAGGCACAAATCATGGATCATCTTCAAATCCCTTTATTCTTCTGGAAAAATCTCATCTCAGGCTTTTCTATTTTGTAAGTTTCTCCTGAAGTGGATTTGGCATCTCCTGTTTGAGAAAACTTGTGTTGAAATGGAGAGCCAGGTTCTCCTCTAATTCCAGGGACTGGGAAGAATTGGGATCTCCAGCTCCAACGTTCTCCTCTTTGGCAGCACAGAAAAGTCAGGAGTGAATTTTCTTCCCCAAAGCAGAGCCACATTAATGGATTAACCCATGACAAGCCCACATGTCCCCAGGGTCCCTGGAACCATTTTCCAAAACAAATCCCACAGCTCCTTTCTCTGGATCCGCAGCTTTGACCTTGGATTCTCCATCCATGTGGATATTGGAGCTGCTTCCAGCCCTGGGTAGAACTGGGGCCTTTATTTCACTGAAAATGGATTTTCTCAAGGTTTTCTTGGGATTTTCTCCAGGTTTTCTCCACATCACAATGAAGTTTCCCACCACTCTCTCCATTTCATCCTGTGGCTCCTCAAATTAATTTGGACTATTTGAAAGGGTTTTATGCTCTTCTTAGAGGAGAAACCCTCATTTCCCAGGTGAATCCCTGGAAGCTGCAGACCCAAAGCTGGAGCAAGGACCCCATCAGATTATTCCCATTTATTGGCACCAAATGGCAGGAGCTGCCTGGAGGGAGGAATCCAGCCGGGCTCTCCTTGCCTGGGAAACTGAACTCCCAAAGCAGGAGCACAGATGATTTTTGTCAAGAGTCAAAACCCTGCTGTGGGGCTGGTGTGGCTCTGCAAAGCCCAAAATGCCGTGGAAAATCCCCCTGGGAGCGCTTGGGATGAGCCACGAGAGAACTTGTGCTGATCCTCCATCCCTGGGGAGGCACAGCAGTGGAAGCTGCACAGACCTGGCCTCTCTCAAGGACCTTTTTAGCTCTGGGGGTAATTAATTCTGCCCTCCCAGATGGTCCCCAGGGACACGGAGCTTCCTTTTGGGATCCAGCCCTTTCCAGGGCAGGAACGTGGCTCTGGCTCCGAAATAACTTTAATTGCAGGGTGCTGCTGGGGCCCGTGGGTGGGCTGCGGTTCTTTGGGCCAGGCTGGGCTCCAGGTGGGTGGGAGTCATTTTGGGAAAGGCAGGAGCTGGGTGAGGGCAGGTTCCCATCAGGAGAAGTTGGAAAAGCGGGATTGGGTGAAGTCTGTGCCAGGAGAACTCAGGGATAAGGGTGTCCCACTCTTGTTTTCCAAGTAGGGATGGAGCTGGCGATGACACTCCTGGGGAAACCACGGCAGCAAAAATACAGCTGGAAACGGGATTTTGGGTGGAAAATACTCATTTTTGAGGGTTTCTAATTCGGGGTCTGGGCTGTAGGAGGAGGAAGGGGCTGCCCGGGTGCTGGGGGTGTCCTGACATCAAGCTCTGTGCACTAATCTGTGTCCAAACACCCCCAAATTCCAATATCCAACTCCTCTGGGGCCACATTTTCAGAGGAGATAAAATAAATGAGGGTGGGGCAGGGCGGGATTTCATCCCTCTAATGGGAGAGTGAGGAAAAAGGGAAATTTCCTGCCTAGGAACAGCATTTCTCACTGGAAAAACTCTGACTGCTGTGGTTGTCGCAAATCTGGGAGCTGCCATCTGAAATGAGAGACTGGGGGATAATTTCTCCCCTCACCTGCAGCAGGAGCCCATCTGTGCCACCAGTGAGGATGGGAAGTCATTAATGCCTCGGTTAATTAATAACTGACCCTTGATTTTCATCCCTCATTAAGGGAAGGGAAGTGTTCCATGGTCCTGTTGTGCTTGGACACGGGCTTAAGGAGGCAGAGACTGTAAAATGGGATAAAAAAATGTGCATTTCCAAGCAATTCAGTGACTTCCAAGTGTCGATTTTGGAAGAGCTGTGGGTGACAGCTCAAACCCTCCCAAATTCCTAAGCCTTTCCTGCTGGGACAAGGGGATTTTTGGGGAGCAAAGGGCTGGGGGGAAAAAGGGGGTGGGAGATGGTGGAGGAGGCCCGGAGGG